TCAACTTTACAGCTGTACATCCGTCAAAGCACTCATGTACGCTTCTTCTATTCCTAATTTCTCACGACTTTAAATAATAAAGACATTTTTATTGCGCGACATATCCACCCAGAGGATGCTCAAGGCGCTTACAATGATCGAGCTACATAATATACTTAAATACAATTTTACTTATAATACATTACACATTACACATAAAAAAGGAAGAAGATGATATTAGTTAAAGTTGGCCATTAGAAAAGTTTTCAGGCTGGCCTTGAAACTATCTACTGATTTGCAGTCCTTAAGTGTGTTAGGGAGACTGTTCCACAATCGGGGAGCTGCTGAGGCAAATGCTCGATCTCCCCATGATCGTCTGGTCTTAGGGATGATCAGAGTTGATGTAATCGCAGAACGCAGACCAGAACGAACAGGCTTGCGAAAGTTGAGTAGAGAAGAGATGTACTGTGGCGAGGAGAACTTCAAGGCACGGTATGTGATCAGAAGGATTTTGTAGGTGAGACGATGTTCAACAGGAAGCCAATGCAGGGATTTAAGGACTGGAGTGATGTGGGCGAACTTGCGTGTATATGTCACGAGACGGGCAGCAGCATTCTGAACAAGCTGGAGCCTCTTTACTTGAGACATAGGGATGCCATAGAGTAAAGAGTTACAACAATCGATGTTGGATGTAACAAATGCATGCACAAGCTGCTCAGCCGCCTTTGTGGTGAGATACTTGCGAATAGCACGACGATTGCGGAGACTGTGGATCGCAAGTTTAACACTTGATGATACTTGCGACTCCATGGTCATATTGGAGTAAAAAATAACTCCAAGATTTCGAACTTTCTTCACTGGAGTAATGATGACGAACCAATATTCAGATAGGGGATTACCGACTTGGCGAGTTGCTGCTTGGAACCCAGCATAACAAACTGAGATTTGTCGTCATTGAGCTTCAAGTAATTCTCCTTCATCCAATTCCTAATGTCACTTATACAGGCTTCAACACGAGCAATCCAGGCATCAACTTCCCCTTGTGTGGGAGAACACGAAAAGTATATCTGCGTGTCATCAGCATACATATGGTGCTTGAGATTATGCCTCTTGATGATATCATGAAGGGGAAGAGTGTAAATGTTGAAGAGTTGTGGCCCAAGTACCGATCCCTGGGGCACAGAGAAGCCAAGATGAACTGTCTTAGAGACAGCACTGCGTACACAAACCCTTTGCGATCTGTTTGAGAGATAAGATGTTAACCACTGGTGAGCCTGTCCACCAATGCCCATAGACTGAAGTCTCTCTAGGAGTATAACATGGTCGACCGTGTCAAATGCACTACTCAGATCGAGCAGAATTAGCCCAGTTACTTTTCCACTATCCATTTCGGTGAGGATATCATTTTGCACTCGTAAGAGGGCAGTTTCAACACTGTGTTTTTCTCTGTAGGCTGATTGGAAGTTGTCTTGAAGGTTATTGTCATTCAAGAAGGACTGAAGACGAGCGGATACTATGCGTTCGATAACCTTCGATAGGAAGCTTAGATTTGCCACAGGTCGATAACTTGCAAAGTCTTGTCTGTCAAGATTCGGTTTTTTCAAGAGAGGCTTCACGAGAGCCTGTTGCATTGAGGCTGGAAAGCTTGCACATCGAAGAGACTTATTAACAAAGTCTGTAATATATGGTGCAAAGTCGTCAATGCATTCTTTTAGAAGAGCAGTAGAAATTGGATCTAACTCACATGATGATGTTGGAGAATTCATGACAACCCTCTTGATCTCACTAATAGAAGTTTTAGCGAAATCAGTCAAAACTGGAACAGGTGATAACTCACAATGCTGTACACACTGTCCTGACGAAAGCTCGGCATCAATGTCATCACGGATCTTGGTGACCTTGTTGAAGAAATAATGACAGAAGTTATCAGCCAGTATTTGGTCAGAAGAAGCATCCGGAAGAACAGTTTCCTTCTTTCGGAGCAGCAGAGCGTCTACAACAGTGAAGAGACGTCTTTGGTTTCCTTCGCATTCTGCAACACACTCTGAATAGTATTCAGTTTTTGCCTTTTCAATTTCTTGGGAAACAACCTGACGCTGTGTCACATATGATTTGCGGTCTTCTTCACTTCTAGTACTCCTCCACTTGCGCTCAAGGCGTCTTCTAAGGCAATTAGCAGCATGGATTTTCTCAGTCATCCATGGACTCGAAGGTTTGATGATAACACTTCTAGTCTTTTTAGGTGCTAGCTTATCAAGAAGACTAGTGAGAGAGAGAGATCATATCTTTCGACAGACGAAGAGATGCTGCTATCCTCAATGTCAATTTCTGACAAAGATTCATGGACTCCAGATCGGAATTGTTCTCTGTTCATTGATCGTAGAGGGCGAGTTGTGACAGTCCTGCGAGAAGTAGACGGCTTTCTTAAATCAAGGTTACATTGGACAGCGTGGTGATCAGATACTCCAAGGATAACAGATACATCAGAAACAAGAGTGGCTGAATCCCGAGTAATAAGCAAATCAAGTGTATGGCCATGTAGATGAGTCCCTTCTCGTTCAAGCTGCTTCATTCCGTAGGATGAAAGTATGTTAAAAAACTGCCTTGCCCGTACGTCATTGAAATCGTCGACCCATACATTGAAGTCCCCTGTCAGGACAACTTCGGAGGGATCAAGAACAAATGAGTCAAGTAGGGTAGCAAACTCTTCAAGGAACAGACTATAAGGTATTCGCTGGCCTTGCTCTTTCACTATATCTGGGCGATAAATGACAAGGAGAATAAGTGAACGGGACTGGCATGAAACTCGAGCTTGATAAGCTTCAAATGACATGAAATGTTGTACAGCTTCTGACTTGACCGACAGTGAAGATTTGAACAACAGTCCGACACCACCTCCTCCTTTTCCTTGTCGATCCTTATGATTAAAGGTATATCCCTCAGGTATACAGTTTCCATAAATAAAATCATCGTCATCCTTCAACCATGTCTCGGTCAACGCCAGGATGTCAAAATCATTATCAAGTACAAATTCAACGATATCGGTAGTCTTATTCCTTACTGATCTAGCGTTCAATGTACACATCTTTGCCGAGAGTTTAGTAGGTACTACTGATATTAAGTTTCTAAAGTCAGAAACACGACATGAAGAATGATGTACACGATGTCCACGATGAGTTGGTTTCACTGAACATATGCCATAGTCCTGTAATATGTGATAGGTATTCAGTGGTATCCTGAGATCAGCACACTTGGGTTGAAAAGACAAAAGGTCTTTTCTGGTGTAGGTGATTGTAGGCATTGTCACAATAGAAGCTAATAGGATCAGGAGACTCACAACTCACAACTTTCCGATCTATTCCAGATTTAATATCAACTTAGTGGTCAGAATATAAATATGTATTTCGCCTTCACCTTTTCATGGCATCAATTTGTTATACATCGGCAAACATGGGTCCCTTGCAAATGTAAGGGATTCATAAACTGAACTCTGATCGACTGTGTCTTCGAAAGAAACAAACAAACAAATTAGAAAATGGAAATGTCATTAATTAATATAGAGTAGAATAAAATGTAATTAAATATGATATTAATATGCACACATAAAACGGTATTGTTTCTTTTAATTTGTTTGTTATTATTTTGCAGCAACGTGGCAAAGTCACAAATTGGCTCTGATCACCGCACACTAACGTTTTACTAACTGATTATAGTAGCAGACTAGCAGGTAAGGAGTATTATTGCTATCATTCTTATTATTTAAATTAATTTTTTGATGATCAATAAGTCATCTTTTCCTTCCAATGTTTGCATTATAAAGTAACTAAAGCTGCTTATGACCTTGTTTCTCGAATTATTGATAGCACTTAACTTTTCAACCTAAGGATCCACTAAATAAATGCCAAACATTAACCAATAAGCAGTCAGAAGATATGTGTTGCTGTATGAATTCATACAAGATCATTACAGGATATAATTGCTCTCTGGTTCATTCTTTCATAGTATCCGACTTACCACCCACAAAAGTGCCAACAGTGGTTGTTATCGTCACTGTAGCCGGTGCTGTCGCCTTCGTTGGTTTTGTTGCTGTTATTTGGAAGAGGTATGAAGATATTAGAAGGGATTATTAAAGTTTTATTAATGCCTCCGTATTAGTACGTTATGACATATAATTCTGTTTGAAGAGCTAGACATTTGAAAATCTTCATTCCGAAACTGTAAAGAGTGACAATGAGTCCTTTGCTCAATCAACTACATTAATGTCGCGCTTTCATTTGCCAACACGATTACATTATTCTACAGTAAGCATGCATGATGAATGTAGGATTGAAACACTTTAACCATGTTACTCTGTTTATAGGCTACAACTAGGCCTAAAATAAAAACTTGTTGTATTGCCCTTTTGGTGCCAAAACATGTATCGGTCGGTCGAAAAGGGTTTTTTTTTTAAACTTTTTTTTGTCGCCCTCTTTGGGCCGATATTTTTCTGATTTGAATGTGTTTTTTTTCCGCCCTCTTTTGGCTGATATTTCTCAGTTTGTAATGCTTTAATACATGTGTTTAAACGTCATCATTCCATTGATATCCTTTTCACCTCATAATCATCCATGGTTTGCACGAGTGAGAATTTTGGAATAATTTGATTGTATGCATTTATATCCCATTAAAACAAACAAAATACATATTTTTGTATTCATTAATTTCAAGAAATCTAAAAAACGGTTACAATTTTTTTGTTTTTAAAATGCCGACCGTAGATTTTCAGATTTGTTGGTAGGTCACAAAGGGCAATACAACAAGTTTTTCTTTTAGGCTAGTACACTGATTCAAATTTCAATAGTTGAATTATATTATCACTTTTAATCTGTGGCTGACCAAAAATGTCCAATAAAACAGGAAAAATGCCTAACGAAGCAAAGCAACAAATTATTCGGCTTAGAAAAACTAAGATTTGTGGCGAAATATTTTTTTTCTTTTTCATAATCCGTTGCAGGTACACTTTGGAAAAGCAATGCAGCACAATGTGCAGAAGATTCACTAAAAACCCATCCACTGTGGATAATGAACCTACTCCAAGTACCGATGGATTATCGCTCCTGTCCACCATGCTCAATGATGAAACAAAAGTCGAGGAATCTCCTCCCGTTGCCTCTACACAGGTTCACCCGGGGTCACCCGTCCATAACCGACTGGTGGAAAGATCAAGTGAAGACGACATTAATCAAGTAGAGAGTTCCGTTACATCTCCATCACCAGAGGAATCACAGGCAAATGAATACGCAACAGTCAGCGATCTTCGCCAAGAAAATAAAGATTCTTCCAACGAGGCAGCAAGAGACCTCGAAAAATGTGGGACAAGGGCAGATGCTGTTCTCGGAGGATCTGACACCATTGACACATCCACCACGCATCCTCAGCAGTCGATATGCGGTAAATCACACACCATGAAGAACCGTCCACTCCCGCAGTGTCCAATGGGTGGAGCTATCAAGCCTCATGTACCTTCACTCAAGACTCAAACCTTAACGAGTCAGGATCAGCCACGGGATACTGACACCTCACACAGCACCTCAATGCAGTATTTCACGCCATTAAAGATAAAGGTGAGTTTTTGTCATCCGATTGCATTGTGAAAGAAAAGGTGTGGAATGGATCAGAAAAAGTTGATCATGTAGCATGTAAGTATTGGTGTGTACTGCAAATCTCTGGAGGTATCAAAATCATAATAAATTTGGCCCAGTCTTGGTAAAGTAACAAGCACTGTACACAGAAAGATGTATAAGGGACTACACAAATGGTCTCAGGGCTACTAACCTTGATTTCCTAATCTTTCGATGCTCATTACTCAGCCAGTATACATTTTCTACCAAAATTGTTTGGCAAATGACATTTATTTGTAATTTTGAACATTCAGTGTAATTTTCGTTTGATTCTGTGAAAATTCATTTTTTTCATTTTTTTTAAAAACCAGAACTTACCTTTATCTTTAACTGCTGCCCGTGATAAGACGCAAGTGCGTAAGATGGCACCTGGTGGGTCCACGCCATATGTGAAGGCTAGAGGGAAGAAGAATAGAGTTGAACGTAAGCTTGAGGAAGGTTCACTTGAAGCCACTACGGGATCAAGGAAAGGCTCTGCTGGTGACCTTGCACCTCGAGGCGTGATAGATGTGTCATCATCTGCATGCAGCACTGATCACTGTCCCGCAAGTGGGACTAGGTCCACTCTAGGCCGAGATGAAGAGTCCTTGTGTTGCAAAGGTAGGAACGGTATGCAGAATAATTCCAATTCCGTTTCACTTACCAGCTCCTTGCATCAAGAACAACTGTACTCCGATATTGATGAAGAATTTCAGCAAGATAAAGACCAGGCGTCCACAGACATGGCTAGAGGTGCTTATGGATCCAATGGAAGATTCGACGGAAACTTAAAACCAACATCTCCTGTAATCCAACAGGCAATAAATCCGTATAACACATTGGAGCCAACAAACACGGATAAGACTTCAGTTGTGTGTCCAGATTATGAAGATATTGGTAACATGGGTTCAAAAGATAACGGTAATTTAGATTATGATCTCTTAAATTTTAAATGAAGTGCAATTATTTGACTTGGCGTAGACATAAGAATATCACATCAGCAATTTAACGGTGATCAACAATTACTGTAATCATATAGCATCTCCCTTTACAAAAGACGATTCCTTGTCGTCTGTTATAATATGTGAATTGTCCCAAAATTTGTGATGCCCATAATTTTGCCAGAGTAACTACATACATTTTGACTTTTTAGCCTCGGTCACAGATACCATAACGAACTGTTACGAATGCCGTACGAACTATTTTCAGACCATTTCGTAAGATCTTCTTAAGAATGCCGTACGAAACCAGCGTTCGTAGACCGTTCGTAGACCGTTCTAAAGTTCGCAGACTGTTCGATGGTCTTGTCCAAGATTTGTTTCAACTTCGTACGCCTTTTCTCCATAAGGCGGCCGTACGAACGTAGTAATAATATAGTAAGAACCACGCAAGATCTTCGTACATTTCGTGGGGTCGAGAGACAATTCTAGAAGCCTCAAATTCTTACAATGATAGTAAGAACGCCTCACGAACGGAGATTCGTATGGCCTTCGTACAAACGACTCCTGGCGTTCATAAGGTGCTTGTAAGGTGTACAAACAGAGAAATTCATACAAAAGATGCGTTCGTATGAATCTCCCCGTTCGTACGAACTCCAGACTTCGTAGAGATTCGTCCTTCTTACGGAGTTAGTACCAACGCCGTATAATTTTTCGTTTGCTTTTCGTAAGAATTCCTCGAGTTCTATTACGTCAGACTTCCGGCCATCTTACGAGTTTTTGTTCTCACGAAATGGTCGTACGTGTAACTGACGGCATTCTCAATTCATTCGTAAGAAGATCTTTCGATTTTCCTGAATATTTTATCAGGTTGCCAAAAAAACGCTGTATAAATTGTGAACGTACACCTTACGACGTCCATACGAAGGCCATTCGAATCTCCGTTCGTAAGGCATTCTTAAGATCTTGCGTGGTTCTTCCGATGTTCTTATTAAGTTCGTACAGCCGCCTTACGAAGAGAGGGTTTCGTATGAAGTTGCACGAAATCTTGGACAAGACCATCGACCAGTCTGTGAACTTACAAACGGTCTACGAACGGTCTACGAACGCTCGTTTCGTACGGCCTTCTTAAGAAGATCTAATGAAATGGTCTGAAAATCGTTCGTACGGCGTTCGTAGCAGTTCGTAATGCTATTTGGGACCGAGGCTTTTACTTAACTCTCTGCAAATAAATTGACATAAAAATAATGGACACAAGGCGCTGCCTCTTAATCTATCAAAAATTTAATAAGAGTTGTACAGGTATTTTTTCAGCTGTACATGTACCTTATTTCAACATTAGGATTTGCCAAGTACTTGCATGTGTTTTTTGATAAATGTACATCCAGGGTTTATACCTTTACACCATGGGATATGTATTTCTGTATTTAAATGGAATAAATTATACATTAAATATGCAAATTTGTATCAGCATCTTGAGCAAAGTCATGAATTATTGAATGTAAATTCCAGAACTGGAATGCAATTTCTGAATGTGATTCCTACTTTCATTTTTTTTAAAGCGAGGCTTTCTTCATTATGAGTAGCTCTTGATGGTTATCTAAACCTGTCAAATAACTGGTCCTCCAATAATGTACACAATAGTCAAATATTATAATCATGATAATGTTTACAAAGTAACATAAGCATAGGTGTGTAGTTAGGGGAAGCCCCAATACTCTATACTACTATGGTAGTAATAATTCTGTGTATATTTATCAGTTTTAATATTCATATGGTGCATGGTGTACAAATGATGTTTAGCATAATGTATAAAATAGTCGAATATTATAATCATGATAATGTTTACAAAGTAACATAAGCATATGTGTGTAATTAGGGGAAGCCCCAATACTACTATGTTAGTAATAATTTTGTGTATATTTATCAGTTTTAATATTCATATGGTGCATGATGTACAAATGATGTTTAGCATAATGTACAAAATAGTCGAATATTATAATCATGATAATGTTTACAAAGTAACATAAGCATATGTGTGTAATTAGGGGAAGCCCCAATACTACTATGTTAGTAATAATTTTGTGTATATTTATCAGTTTTAATATTCATATGGTGCATGATGTACAAATGATGTTTAGCATAATGTACAAAATAGTCGAATATTATAATCATGATAATGTTTACAAAGTAACATAAGCATATGTGTGTAATTAGGGGAAGCCCCAATACTTTATACTACTATGTTAGTAATAATTGTGTGTATATTTATCAGTTTTACTATTCATATGGTGCATGATGTACAAATGATGTTTAGCATAATGTACAAAATAATCGAATATTATAATCATGATAATGTTTACAAAGTAACATAAGCATATGTGTGTATTTAGAGGAAGTCCCAATTCTTTTAATACAATGGTAGTAAAAATTCTGTGTATATTTATAAATTTTAATATTCATATGGTGCCTGATGTACAAATGATGTTTAGTATAATGTAACAAATAGTCAAATATTATAATCATAATAATGTTTACTGAGTAACATAAGCATATGTGTGTATTTAGGGGAAGCCCCAATACTCTATACTACTATGGTATTTTATTAGGCGTCTATACCAACAGTTTTCACATACTAAATATATACATGTAAACATAAGAGAAAGTTTCTACTCTCGGACTGACTGCACATGAGCGTATTTAACATTGCCTTGTATAAAATGTATTTAGTTGCTGGCTCATGAGCCTTCGGTTGAAACAGACCGTACAACACTTACTAATAAAGTTGAACCTTTCCAACTTCTATATCTACATGTATATATATGTATATATTCAATTAGAGTTTCTTTTCATCTCTTTTTGGTTTCTTATTTTATTTCCAGTTTTCTTGCATGCTCTTTTAGTCTTGGAAATAACTTTTCTATTTTATATTATTTTAATCTCAAACTTATAGCACTCTCCACGTCTCCAGGCTCATTCCTCCGTCAGTTGTACTCAAATATATGTTTATTTATTTGTAGCTCCACCCCATTTCCCAAGTAACACTGTTGAAAAGTGAACTATAAACGCCCCATAAGCGGGTTCTTTTGATGAAAGAATAATTTATATCATAAGCCTTTTCAATAAGGCCACCACATGGTGTCAGCTAAAGCCTTACTCTATAAATAAACATGTCTTAATTGCTCTAAATGTAAGTTATAAATATAAATATATATATATATATATATAAGCAAGTTTAGTGAAACTGCAATTTCTGACAGTGCTCAACTGTAGGAGCAAATGTATATATATATATATATATATATATGTAAAGACTTGTAATCGTACTTGTCATTCATCGTGCGTTGTTTTATTTTTTACTTTAAAGTTAATTAAAGGGCCCATGACATCGAAATACAAGACTGTACTCCTGTTGGTGTGCAGTCCTGCACACATCTCATATTTTGATGTGTAAACTTTTGAATTTTTTTCATAGATTTGTAAATATTTTTTGAAATATTTGTTTTTCAAACTTGCTAAGCTCCACCCCCCAAAACCTTCACATCTCATTCCCCTTGTGAAATCATCTGTCAGTCATCAATGAGCTAACTTGAGAAAGTGGTATGTATCTTTGCCGAAGTCGACCACCTGTTACAATACGTAATACAATAGCAACTTACAAGTTGCTATATCACACATGCTGGAGCATCACCAGGAAGACAATGATGATGTATTGTACATATGTATGGAAGCATGCAATTCTATTATGAAAGTGTGGTAAGCTGGGACATTACATACCATTGTCTATTCTAGAATATTTATTTAGTCTGACATGTCTGACGCTCATGGCGCTAGCTCAGCAATAGTTCTCTTTGATACAAGTAAAGTAAACAGTTTTGCAATATTCATTTATATAACCCATTTCAATCCTTCAGCTCTATATCATACAATAGGAGAATACTTCAGAATTGTGTTTCTATATTTCCTTATAGCAGTGTGCATTGGTTCATCATCATGATCACCATAACATCCACGATTGGCTTTTCGCACTGGAGGCTTAGTGAACATTGAAATAAAATCCTGTGTGAAATATTGGCCTCATCGCATTCTTGCCTCTGGAACCTGGGTTCTGTGGGGGCTCTATTCTAGTTTACTCACAATATTGCTTCATTGTATATTGGAAGTGTGTTTAAACTTGCAGTATTTCTTTATATTCTAATGCAATATATCAACATGAAACCAAAACATACAGGCCAAATTAATGCTTGGTGGTTAGTAAACTTTAAAGAAGGATGGAACCGGCCCTAGCCCCTCCATTTTCTAAGGCTACATATGACGTAACTGAAGTACATGTTAAATAAAAATGTGTTGCATTAATGTGCACTCCCTTTTTGCAGAATACTGGATCCTTATAACGATAGACTGTAAACCTAACCATAACAATAGTCATGACCATGAGCATCTCATTACCACACCTTGGCATAGGACTAATTGGATAACATCTTCAATAGAAATAAGAAGAAACAATTGATTAGCAAGAAGATAAACGGTATCATGTCTTGGTTTCTTTATTTGAGGAATCAACGACAGGTTTTATGTCAGATTCCCCAGGAAGTGCCGACGAAAAATCGCAGAATTTAAGCTATAGCTTAGCTATTGTGGCCAGAGCACACACCATTCTCCGTCCGACCAGGGACTTACTTGCTACACCTGGATCAAAGGAGACAACTGCAGTGGGTAAATGCCCTTCAAAATGTTGCAGAGGACATAGAGAACGGGTCATCATTCGAACTTATCAACCAAGGTGACCAAAAGGAACTTAAGTTACTCAGAGTTTACCACTGTACTTTTTATATCAACAAAATGGACTTAAAGACAAAACATAACATAACATACGCGCATGTCTGTTTAAATACCTCTGAAATGTGCAGGCATTTAGATCTGTATAACGTAGTTCTTACGCCTTGTGATTTTCTCTTTCACAACCGAGACATAACATGTGATACCATACCCTCCATAAATGGTGATTAATGGCTTTACATTTCCTTGGGAATTCTACAGAATTCCTGAAATGATAGTGACTAATTAAAAATAAAGAGTAATTATGACTCTTAAAGGTCGAGAAGGAAACAAAATATGTGCATAGTGTGACTGAAATTTATTTCGGAAGCAAATCAATCGACTGCAAGCCGAATGATGCTGCCAACAAGACAGACTGGGACAAGAAGATTCCACATTGCCACTCCCTCCCAAGGACTACATTGCAACCTACAGGTGGTACGTCTGATATT